CACACACACACACACACACACACACACACACACACACACACCCCTATATCGCTCCCAAATCCCAGAAACACATTGTCGCAAAAATCTAACACACAAAGAAATATAAAAGCTCAGCAATGGCTGGTTCAGGGGCCCTGTTGAACAGAGAAGGAGGTGAGGAGTGAAAAAAGACAGAGCATGAAAGAGTAAAAGAGGGGAGGGAGAGGCACTGAGCGGAGAAAATGAGGGGGTGTCGAGGAGGAGGAGGAGGAGAGAGAGAGAGAGACTCTTAGGGAACAAACTTAAGACGGTGAGAACTGAGTGAGTGAGCACACGGTGTCAGCACACAGACTGGGAACGAGGAAAAGACTCTAGTGATCCATCAGCATCAAACAGGTACAGAAAACCACTTTTCCTCTTTTCTTCTACTTTGTTTTACATTAATTTCATAACTATAGTGATCTGTGTGCTGATGCAAACCAGATGAATGATCACGTGGTTATTGTTAGAGATTTAGTCATCAGTGTTAGCATTTGAAGGCATAAGAGCATATCTTCTTTGGAGTTGTTTTCAAATGTGAGTGTCACTGAAATACATTCATTTTTTTGTTATGATTCAGTTCTGGGTTCCCACAGAACTCCACTGGCTTCCTGCCTGAAGAAAATGGAAGCTCTGATGGGGTCACCACAATAGATGTATTTTATTTCTTCCAGCACTCAGTATTTATTTATCTAAAGCTGTTTACAGGATGGAAAGCAGAACATTGCAAATGTCTGATTATACACAATGATTTATCCTGGCCGTAAACTAAAGTGAAATCCATCAGTTTGAATGTGGCCAAATAACTTTTTTCTCAACAAACTTGGTGTTTTTCTTTTCGTTGACATATCCTCAATGGAAAAATTGAACTTGTATTACCGCAGATCATTGATACCTTCCTCATACCTTGTGTATTATAACGAAGCCCTTTTTTTTTTTTCTGTGCTTTGACGTATAGTTACCACAACCACATTAACCTCTCCTTGATTTCAGTTTCTTTATTACATTTCATTAAATTCTATAACCAGTCTTGATTTTTATATAGGCCATAAGGTAAAATGAGAAATCTATGAGTTTTTATTTTTTCCATAGACTGAATGGGTAAACACGCCATTACAGTAACTGATTTATTTATGGTTGTATTATTTTTGTGGAAGTTATTCTCATCATCATTTGTCATTTGTCTCCATAGAGATGACTCCACTGATCAGGGACCTTCTTTTTTTTCTGATTGCCTCACCACTCCTTCACTCCCACCTGTTCACTCATGCTGCTTCCACTTCCCCCCCCATCACACGCCATCGCATCATATTCATGACCGGCTCGGACGATGACTATAACGATGATTACAATGACGACAACAATAGCTCTCTTCCTGAAGTGCCGTCCTCAAAGAGGATTCCCATTCTCCGTGGGCAACCCCAGCTCTGCAAGATCAATCCCTGCCTGGAGGATCAGGAACCCTGCCCCCAACTTTCAGTGAAGACCGGGTGCCTCTGTCCTGGGATCAGTGGGGCAGATGAGCCTCCTCACTCCCCAGTCATCCAGGCATTGCTGCCAGTCAGTAAAGGAGATAACAGGGGGAAGGTAGAGGTGCAGTGGTGCGCTCCATCTTCTGTGGTGTCTGGTTACAGAGTGGTCATTGAGGGAAATGAAGGTGATGCTTTGGAGTATGGAGATGCTCTACGACGAGGGTTGGTGGGATCCTTGGAACCTGGGACCAAGGTTTGTGTGGAGGCGACGAACAGCGCAGGACACAGCAGCCCCTCAGAGTTCTCCTGTGCACGGTATGACCCTCCTAAAACCTCTGAACATAACCTGCTAGTCTGGATCATAGGTGGAGGAGTCGCCCTGCTGCTACTTATCACCATAACAGCTGTGATCCTATGGAAATATAAAATATGTCAAAAGAGGAAAAGAGACTCCACTGATGGTCTAGGGAACCCTTCTTACAGCACAGAGGGAACTCTGTAATCCAGAAAGTGCAGTACGGACAATCCATCCCAACTACAAGAGATAGAGGTGATGTGATTATGAAAAAAGTAAATCATCTCGGGATGGTTGTATGATTCATTCCAGAGTCACAAAATTGTTTTACGCTCCCTTTTCAGGGGTGGATACATGATCATTCTGAAAGAAAGAGCTGTGGCATAACAGGCACAGGATAACAGGCACAATAACAAATAACAACAGTTTATTGAGTTATTTTGGGATAATAACTGCAGGGTCATTTGCTGGCAAATTAACCTCTGTAGATTTATTGTAGTAAATTTAATTGTAAATATTTTTAGGCCATAGCTTATGATTAAAATGTTTGTAATTAACTAAATCTTATTTTAATTAAAAAAAACTGTTTGAAATGTCTTGATTGAATTTTTGCTTCAAAAGGTTTTGCACTGGCCTACATTTCATAACATACAAATTGGTTTGGTGATTGTAATGATAATGTAAGTTGAGTTGTCATCATTAGGAAACACCAAGTCACCAGAACAGCTTTAATGCGCTTTGGCATTGGATGGCCAACTGTAAACTACAGATTGTGTAAGTCTCTAAACAGAGAGATGGGACATGATTTTTCCAAATATAGATAACAACTTTTGTGTATTGATGCTTTTGGTGGAACTGTCTAATTCAACAGTCTAATTTTGGTCCTTGTCCAATTCTGCGATCGTTATTTTCCTATCATTTATTCTAGATTTAAATTTGTTACCCATCCATTTTCATCAGTGGAAAGCATTACATCCACTCAAGCACTCAATGAACGTCATTCATTTTTCAACTTTACAAATTTAATTATAACCAATAAAACAAATGACCAACTGTGAAATACAGAGGGGCTTCTTATTGATGTACTCAGCAGAATGTTACATACTATTAGATTACATATCATTTAGCTGACACTTTTATCGATTTAGCAACTTACAATAAGTGAATTCAACCCCGAGGGTACAAACCCAGAACAGCAAGATTCAGTAAGCAAGTACAATTAGCTTTAAAAAAGCCAAACTACAAGTGCTATATGTTAGTGCAATATATACATTAAGTGCAACTAAACTTTTTTAAATATAAACACCATGCAACATAAACATTATGTTGTCAAAAAATGATCCATTCATATATTGTGTATATTAACCCAAGTCTACAAGGAGTTACTGGCCTCAACTCAGATATTTTTATTACTATTATTTTTAGATTTCACTTTGTGTGTCTTAAAGTGATTTATGAAAAGTATTCATATGGTATCATACCATTATTTTTGAAGGAAAACTGAAACTTCTGTACAGTACAATACTGACTACATAAAAATATTACACTGAAATCTTTAATTCACTATCCTGAGTACTTTTACTTCTGATACTTTTGGACACCTTTTAATGCAGCGCTTTGCTGCTTTTACTTCGGTGAAGCCTCTTCCTCCTCCTCCTCTATCCAGGTATCTACCCTACTTTTATTTTGAAAGTCTTAAAAACTATAAACAGCAGAAAGTTTGTGTAATTGGTCAAGAACCGGATTCATTCACTGTAAGTCCCGCCTTTTCCGGTGTCTCAACCAATGATGAGCCACCAAACAATGTGAGGAAGTAGGTGCCGACACATTGACGGCAGCGGGATGGCGAACACAGGTGAGTCTGCTCTTCTCTCTCTGACAGAAATAAACGTAACTTACTTATTTAACAATGACCGTAAATATTAAAACACTAGGTTTATAAAACTTAGCGAGTTTCCGTCAAGCAGCCTGGTTATGTGACGTATGTTTAGATAACAGTGACACAACAGGTTGCATTAATGGTATATTTACGTTGTCAGGTCGTTTTAACTGTGGGTCTATTTGTATTATAAGTATTTCATGCGCTGATGAGATAAATAAAAAATAAGAAGTCGTTTCTGTGCAGGTTGTGTCTCTTGTTTGTTATTTGTACAGATGTCTGATTCAGAATGACTCAGCAGACCAGATGTTACGTGCATCTTCAGGCAACTCTTGTCATGTTCACATTCACCAAAGCAACCAACAACAACAAACCACCTCATGAGAGAGCTGTACCTACACACACACACACACACACACACACACACACACACACACACACACACACACAAACTACTACATATTCCGATACCTGCAGTTGTAGGCAAAATGTTCCTCCAAATATGAAGACTTTTTAACTTTAATATAAAATAAACAATTGTGGGATGTTTGGTCCCATCACTCCCACTTATCGTGTGGGAGGAAATATAATTCCTCTGGGTTGTGTGGAAACTATCTGAGCTCATATTCAGGGAAGAATGGATTCCACTCATTATCAGCAAATCCTGATTGAAAACAGAGACAGAAATGTAGGTGGTTTCTGCAACAGGACTAACTATGAGCAAAGGAAGATGTCAAAATCCACCATGAACTAC